CACACAAAGGTTTTCTAACATAATAGCTTTATAAAATGTTTATAGTTTTATCTGTGTAATGATGGTTATTCTATTTATAAGTGAAGAGAAAATGGCCAAACTGTTGAAGTTCGTGGAGCAATATTGGATAACAGGTGGGTCATTCCATATAATTTATATCTTTTTACTAAATATTATTGTCATATCAATGTAGAAATTTGTTCTTCTGTTACTGCTATAAAATATCTTTTTAAGTATATTTATAAAGAACACAATCGGGCTACTATAAAGATTACAAGCCAAAATAATCAACAAGTTCTGTCAAATAATAATAATGAAATAAGTCAATATCTTGATGCTTGCTATATTTCAGCATTAGAAGCCTCATGGAGATTATTCCATTACTATTTACATGATAGAAATCCTGCTGTTATGCCCTTCAAGTACACCTCTCAGGACAATACTGAGTCACCTTTCGCAATGGTCAACTTCTACAAAATGTAATTGATCAATCTAATTCTGAATGAACTATACTTACAGCTTGGTTTGAAGCTAATGAATTGTATTCAGAAGCAATAGAACTAATATATGGAGATTTTCCGACTCATTGGGTTTTTGACAAAAAAGCGAATAAATGGAAACCAAGACAACGTGCAAATATTATTGGGCGTATATACTTTGTATCTCCTACAGCTGATGAACACTACTACTTAAGACTTCTACTTAACGTAGTTCATGGCCTACTTTATTTCCAAATCTCCATACTGTAAATAGAATTCAATATGATACATTCAAAGATGCTTGCACTAAATTAGGTTTACTACAAGGTGATGATGAATGGGATTTCTGTTTATCAGAGGCATTACAGATTCAATCTAGTGCTCATTATATACTTTGTTTGCTACGATTCTTCTGTTCTGCAATTCTGTACATTCTGAAAGATTTTGGAAGAAGTATTTTTCAACTCTTACTAATGATTTTCATTTTCATATTCTTAATACTACTGATGCTACACTTACAGATACTAACATTTCCAATCAAGCTTTATTGCATTTACAATCTATTTTAAATAAACATGGAAAATCTCTTTCCGATTTTCCTAACATGCCCTTACCAACTATCCCTCCAACTTCTGACATTCTTAATCATCTAATTGCAGAAGAACTTAATTATAATATCGAAGAACTTACACAAATAATAGAACATGGAGTCTCTTGCTTAAATACTGATCAGTAATTCATTTTTAAAAAAGTTATAACTGCCATCAAACATCGAAATTCAGCTTTATTTTTTGTTGATAGCCCAGGCAGAATGGGCAAAACTTTTTTGTATAAGTAACTATTAATATATTCTCTATAATATTCATTATTTTATTTATTTTTTTAACCTTTTTTTTTAAATAGCATTTTACTTGCAAAAATTTGTTTAAATAGCGATATTGCTCTTGCAGTCGCTTCATTAGGGCATTGTTGCTCTTTTGTTACCAGGTGGTTGAATAGCTTATTCAAGATTTGAAATTGCTATTAATTTGAATGAAGATTCTACCTGTTCAATTTCTCATGGCTCTGATCTAGCTTTACTAATTCAAAGGATACACCTTATCATATGAGATGAAGCTCTAATGATGAATAGGTTTGTATTTGAGTCCATTGATTGCACTTTAAGAGATCTGATGAAAGCTATAGACCCTGCTTTAGAGGAAAAACCATTCAGAGGTAAAATAGTAGTTTTGGGTGGAGATTTTCATCAAAATCTTCTAGTTGTTGTTAAAGGTGATCGAGAAGAAATTGTAGGATCATGTATACGTCAATCACCATTTTGGCGTCATATTCAAGTTATGAAGCTAAAAATTAATATGTGTCTTCAACATAATACTACCACTTTTAATAATTCTGAATCTGCTAATTTTGCTAAATAGCTTCTTAAAGTTGGTAAAGGCTGCCTTCCTACTGTTACATCTGAAAAACATACTATTCAACTTCCTAATGATATAGTATTGCTATCTCCCAACTTAAATGATCTTATTCAGTTTGTGTATTCTGACTTTTTGCTTCCTTCTACTCCCCTTCTCAACTTTTAGTCAACCATGCTTTACTTGCTCCAAAAAATGACCAAGTTGATATTATTAATACTATTATTATAAATAAGTTTCCTGGTAATGCAATCAAATATCTTAGTGCTGATTCAATAAAAGAACAGACTGATGCTAAAAATTTGTATCCTATTGAATTCCTTCATTCTTTATCCATTAGAGGTATTCCTCCTCATAAACTAATATTAAAACCTGGTGTTCTGATTATTCTATTATGTAATATTCATCCTTCTAATAGTCTTTGTAATAGTACTAGATTAATTTGTAGATCTTTCCATAGACATGTTATCGAAGCTGAAATTATTACTAAAAATCATTCTGGAAACAAAGTATTTATTCTTTGCATTACAATGTTTCCTTCTAATACTAATTTGCCTTTTAGTTTCAACTGTCATTAATTTCTGATCCAACCAGCTTTCGCTATACCGATTAATAAAGCACAAGGGCAAACTTTACAATCTGTTGGATTATACCTTCCTACTTCTGTGTTTTCTCATGGTCAACTATATGTTGCTTGCTCATGAGTAACTTCACAAAGCAATTTGAAAATCCTTACATCAACCAAAATTTCCGGTCTCACATTTAATATTGTTTATTCTGAAGTCTTTTAGTAACCTAATTTGTAAAACTATTTTATTCTCATTTATTTATATTTGTCTACTTTTTACTTTTACATTTTCCTTCAATTGCATTAAGTATATTTCACAATTTTTATTTTTTAAATAAGTTTTAATCCATTAAATTTCATAAATCCACGTAGCCTATAAATTTTATTACTAATTTACTTAAAATTATTACAACTCTTTTTCTATACTCACTTAAATAATTGTACAGATTTGTTTTATTTAAATAAAAAAATTTTTTTTTATTTTATTATTCAAGTATAAAGATAAAAATATATTAATTTATAACCTAATTTTTAATTGAAACTCCTTAAATTCTTTTAAATTAAAATACCACCAAATATCCATTATTATAATCCACTTTAAATTTAAAAAAAATATTAAAGTTTCCCTCCAACTAATTATTCCCCTTTTAACCGATTACTTTTTTTACAAAAAATCAATCCTATAGACAATATACTTTATAAAAATGGCAGTTTACTCCTTATTAATGAATTATCATAATCAGTATAATAAACTCAAATCATACAATTCTATAAAAAATCACAAATTTACAAAATTCGTATCCATTACTATTCTTATCATTAAACACTAATTTTTGCCCCACTTTATTTATTTACATAACCCATTTTTTTCTCCTAATTCTACGCACTTATTATCGTCTATCAGCCATATTACCGGTACGCTTCAAATGACTCCTTATGCATAATGAATCTCTAACACAAATCAAATAACTACCAAATCTCCAACACTAAATAATTTCACTAAATCACTTAAATTACTCTTTAATTTTCACCTTACCACCACTCTCTCTGCTGTAAAATATACATTCTAATCTCATTTATATTATACAATCATCATGTTACCTAACCTTTAAATCTATTTACACAAAATACTAACCTTACTTTTTACAATTTAATTCGATTTTACACTATTACATACTAGAGTTTTCTGCATTTCCATTTTACTACTATTATTAATGTTTTACTTTTTACTTTTTTGCCCGGCAGCAACGCGACGGGTTACTACTAGTATTTAGCCATCTCATTGCGTTACACTGATCGACATCGCACGTGCGTAATTTTACCGGATTTTACGGTACACAAAATTGCCCTGATCTTACGATCTACGTAGAAAATTTCCTCTTTGGGGGTCATCTAAAGCCGTGTCCATCACGTGACCTGAAGCCAATAGAATTGTTTATTTTGATCGACACGGATCAGCCCGAAGAGA